TCACCAGAGAGACCAATGGAAAAACAAGATAGAACAACCTTTCCTGGAACCTGGAACTTGTCCGTGGGATTATAGACTTTGCTGGATGTAGACTGGAAGTGGGTTGAGAAGTGTTTTTATAAGGAGTTAAAAGAAAGAAATTATTGAGCACAAGACAATGAAAATGGAGAGCCTGCTGTCCCCTAAAGCTAAAGCCATGTGTAAAATATGGAAGATGAAGTAATGCACTTGTCACAAGCATGGGACAAATGTGGAAAACATTTGTCGAATATACATAGCAAGCAAAAACTGCCCTACACTTGGTTGGATGTTACTTTATAGTCGGGACAGATTAATTCCAAATTTCAAGTTGAAGGAAGTGATGGGCAAGTTTTCAAAGCTAAACAGCCTTAACTCCATTTGTTTTTTCTCACCAAAGCAACGAATGAAAATTGGTGCACGTGTCCCCAATTCAATAATTGATTTGAACAGGTCTCCGGATGCCTTCTCTTGGAAGAAAAATAGAGAGGAGTTTTAACATTTAACACGTTGAGGTATAACCTATTCTATCATAGAAAGGCATTAATTTCCTAAGAAAAAATTAATTAGATTCATAAAATCATAAATTTAACGCATTAATCTCTAATGCAAAAAAGGGACTACGTTTTCATTTTTTGTCAAAGAGAATTATATTTAAAAGCTTTTGTTACCAAAATCAAAACTTGTGTTATGTGATAAATCTCTACCTTGAAATTTAGTTGAAGCTCGAAATTCTGTTGAAGGAATTATGTTAAATCAAACTCAAAATGAATGTTAAAAAGAAAAAAAAAATTACATAGAACTAGCACAAAATTTTTATTGATTTACAATAGATGTTGGCTTCTAATATATAGAGTCATTACAAACTCCTAAATTAATGATAATTCTCAATAATTATTGAATAGAGTCAATTAAAATAATTTTAATCTTAAATTCTAATCCTATCCTAGAGTACATAGATCATATTTGGTCTTTTTGGTGTAGGAGCATTCAATTCTCTCTAAGTGAAGAGTATTATTTTTAATTCATGAAATTAAATTTATATATTCAATTATATTCTTAAAAATTAAATTAATAATTTAAATTATATAAACTTTGAGGAAAGATAATTTTGATAAATAAATAAATTATCTTATACTAATATTTGTATATATCAAAAATAAAATAATATTATTTAATCAATCTCATTCTTACTATAATTTTATTTTATCTTATTACAATTTTTAATGATTATTTCCATTGACTAAATTGGATTGCAATAGCAACTATAGATTTAATAGCATCTGGACATTCTTCCGCCTGATATAATTTTTCCTTCCTATTCGGTGCATGGATAGGTCCAATCCAGGGCTTTAAGACGAGATATATTTATATATACAGATTATTTAAGACAGACTTTATTATTGAAGAAGGCAATCGATTTTGTGCACACAGGGCAATTATTGGCGAAGTTAAAGCATTAATTTTTGGAGTAGCTCTTTCACTGGCTGTCATGAATTTATATTACCTTAATGTCAAAGTCCCATCCTGGAAATATTAAACATGCAATTCTTCCTCATGATGATTGCAGGATGACAACAACAAAAAAAAAAAAAGAAAAAGAAAAATTGAGAGCAAGACAGTAATTTAAGTGAAAAAATTTTTACTTTCCTTCATAGGAAGAGAAATATATACAGAATAACGAGAAACCTGAACTACAAAATTTACATTGCATTGCTGATTCAAGGACTGCTTAGTTTTCTCAATCCTTCATGGATGATGCAGTCATGTCCTTTTTCACCCTTGTTGGTTGCTTCTCCGCATTACTTAATGAATCATTGTTCTGGAAAAAGGCAACGAGAAACATTCCTTAGATGCTAATGGGTCTTGAGGAATTCAGGTTGATACTCAGCAGAATCCTGAAAGTGTGCATTGTCATCATATTCCTCAGCAGCATCTTCAACAATGGTTTCCAAACCTGGAGAATTGGAAGGCTTTTGAGGGTAGATGATAGGAGCTGGAGCTACTTCCATCCAGGAACATCTTTTCCTACTTTCCTTAGCCATTGAGACCTCAAACGAAAGGCAGAGTCTACTTTTTATTGATGATTATTAACAAGGGTTCACAATGAATTCCTCTCTTCCTCCTATTCCTGGGAAGAAGAGAGATGTCGAAACACCGGGGGAAGACTTTCAAAAAAGCTTTTTCCTTTTTTTTTTTTTTTTGGGGGGGGGGGGGTTTACAAGAGAGAACAAAGAATTCAATTGAGATTTGCCAGAACGTGGATGCCAAAAGAGCTTAAATAGAAAAGGATGAAGAGGACACAACTAAAAATATCCAAGCTAGAAAACAGAGTAGTTAAATCATAGGCCAAATTGACGGTAAACCGCAATCCATGTGTACATTGTTAAACACGGTTGCTGGAACGAGGAAAGTTCATTATAGGCATGCTTTGATTGATCCAAAGATAGGATTACGTGTGAAAATCTTGGAGGCATTCCAGGGTAAGTTCCAACTTTCGTAGGCAAAAATAGAAAACGACCCAGGGTCTAAAGGGAGGTTTTCGATATCAGCCATGAAGAGGAAAACTGACATTTAAAGTGCAACTTGAATCTCCTCAGAGCGTATAGCATTTGGTTTGGAAACTGACTGCTGTCAATGGGGTTGATAGACGAGCCTCTGCTGGAGAACTGTTAATGATAGTTTAGGTCCATGTTGAATACAGGGATTTCTAGTAAGAACCATTGAAGAATTATGCCGGTTGAAGGAAAAATTACTTCTTGCCAAGTCCTCGGATCTATTCCTGATTGTGGAAATGGATGCAGCTATTGAAAATTTTCAGCAGCACCATGTAAATGATCATCAAGCGTGTCATAGCCTCATTGGAGACTCCCTTGTTCCTAAGCGAAGGATCGGAATGTGCAATGTAGGCATAGCTAATGATTCAGAAACAAATAAGTACCCGCATTTCTTAAAACGCGTTAATTTCTCTGCTGGCTAGAATCGGACCAATTGGCCAAGTACTCAAGTTGCCGTCCATGGTTTGAAGATTTTAAAAGCCCTCTCTAGCTGGTCCGGCTAGCGTGAATGTATAATCCGGACTTGTCACACGTGAAAAAAAGAGTATAAAATTTACGTGAAATTATTTAGATGAAATTTATGAAATTTACTTTTTAAAATAATTTAATAAAATTTTAATAAAATATTTAAACTAATAAAATTTAATAGAAAGATCAATAATATTAAAAAAAATTTTAAAAATATTATTTATAATTTAAATTTGATTGATACTTATTTAATGATAAAATTTTTTTTCAATATTTTTATTAAAAATATATATTTAATAAATATATCAAAGTTTATTAAATTTGTTTTTAATTTTATATGCTTGATCTATATAATTAAATCTTTTAATTTATCAATTTAAATTTTTATTAACTTATTTCTAATAAAAAAATTCACAAATTATATTTATAAAATTTTATCTAAATTTTTACCCAAAAAGAGACGTATCATGAAAAACAACCAAAACCCACCAATCATGGACTGATTAATATAACCATTACTACAAAGAAAACCTAAAGCACAAATTCCAACAATTGCTAGTAAATTAACTTCCTATAGACCGTTTGATTTGATGTTGTCCATCTAAAATCGAAATCCCATCGCACATCAAATTTGTAGCCATGCTAAAACATCGTGAAATATGACAAGTTAATCAAAACTTGAAACTCGTTGCACTTCCAACACGACATTTGCATCATAGGAGTAAGGATTTAAACAGGAACCTTTAATCATTTGATTAGGGTGCCGAAACAGGTGGTTATATGGTAAGTCCATATCATCTCCTTACTCATTAGACTAGACAAATAGAAAGTTCCTTTCCTAATTTCTATAATTAAGAGGGGACAGAGGGCGGATTTTATCTTTTCTTTATTGTTCTTTTTAGCGGAGAGGAAAATGAGGATATAAGCTAACTGCCGCTTTCGGGAGAAGACCGACAATACGAGGCTGATCAAACAAGATACTATGAAGAGAAATGATCAACATCAAACATCATGCAAATAGCTAATTCATGATCTAGTTTCTTGATTGATAAAACAATAAAACAGGGAATAGAAAAAGAATCCATGATTCCATATGGCCATACGGGCACTATATGCTATCGAAGTGACTGGCTGCTCCTGATTGGTGTAAAAAAAACAAGGCAAAGTACTTTATGCCCAAAGGTTATTCTCCAGTGCAAATAAAGAAGGTACAAGTTAAACCATTTTCACAAAAGCTTTTCCTCCCTAATCTATCTAAATTATGATGCATTACCAAGAACTTAGCATCCAATACTAATCAAGTGTCATATTCAACTCATAATTTCTATCAATATCAAGCAATAAAAGTGAAAATAGAATTCAAAAATAATGTGATATTAACCCAAGGGAACGACCCACAATGAGATTTCTATAAGTAGCATCATGCAAATCAAGAGTTTCAACTAACCAACAGCTTCGCATGAAATACCACTCTAAGGATAGGCCGCGTACCTCCTAGACCACATACTACTTAAGATCATAACAGAACCCTAAGGTTCCCTAGCAATGCGGGTTCCACAATAGAAATGAACTTCAAATCCACTGATATTCTATAGACCATAAACACATTCAATAAACAATAGAAAACTACATCAAGCACACATAGCACAATCAAAAAGCACAACTCAGAATGGAAAAAAAGACTACATGCTATTATTGATCTAAGCATCAACACAATACGACATCCAAACCATTGATCTAAGAAACAATATCCCAATACATCACAACATTCAAAAAGAATCGATAGGCAGTACTGCAACAAAATAAAATCAGTAAAAGCTTAGACTAACCATCAACAAACGGCAAAATGCTATTAAAACAGAAGATAAGAAGGATAAAATCAAAAGCATCATAATAAGAATCAATCACCACAAAACTCAATAAACCTACTACACATTCAAAAATTCATCAAACAGGGAAGCAATCTAAGTGCATCAGAAAATGCATTTATCAAAATTAAGATTCCATCCCAATATTCGTTCTACAATAAGCAAAATCACCTAGAGCAAAATTTAAACCATACATCTCCTGATTCAAGATATAAGCCCCACCATCCTCCACAAATTTCATAATCATTAAACCCCTTAAGATACTTGATCATCATCTTTTTAACAATTATCCAAAACTTATAAAAACATAATCTTAAAAAAAGAAAACATCAAAACAATTATTAAACCAAAAACCTCCCAAAAAAACCCTCACTTTTTTCTTTGTTTACTCCAAGGGAACATCAATTTCCCCTTCAGAAATCTCCTGCTGCAAATCTTTAGGGTCTTTTCCATCAACCGTGCACCCAACAGAAACACAAGTTCCCAAAATCTCCTTCACCGTTCCTCTCAAATCCTTAGCCATAGATCTAGGTCTCATCACTTTCGCAATCTCAATCACATCATCAAGGCTAATACTCCCATTATGCTTAATATTCTTCGTCTTCTTACGATCTCTCTCGGGCTCTTTCAATGCCTTGATGACCAACGCGGCGGCGGAAGGGACCACCGTGACTTTAGCTTGACGGTTCTGGACAGTGAGTTTGACAGTGACACGTAAACCCTTCCAGTCCTTGGCGGTTTCTTTGGCGATGTCTTCACCGATTTTTTTGGGGGAGAGACCCAAAGGACCGATTTTGGGTGCGAGAGAACTGGCAGCTCCGACTTCACCTCCAGTAACTCGAACGAAGACGTCGACAACTTGGGTCGGGTCGAACTTTGGAGGCATGGTTGACGGCGGTGGTGGAATATAGGATTAGGATTTTGAAGGACGAGAGAGTGAAACCAGAATTTTTTGTGGCGGCGAAGCGGAAATGAGGAGAGTGTTGAGGAGTTTAAATGGGGTGGGAAATTAGGGTTTTGGGGAAATCTCCGGGCCTCTTGATGGCCCATTGAGCTACCTAAGTGGGTTTCAGAAACAGACTAATTTTGCAACAAGACCTTTTCCATATCCTAAAAGTCTTTTTTTTTTGTTGCTAAATTAGTGAACTAAAAGTAACCATATTATGCTAAAATATTGATTGAAAATCGATATTATTTGAATGCACTAAGGTTCAAATAATTTTTATATCGTATGTTTCATTGCTATATTGAAAGATAGAAATGAATCAGATGGTCAATTATTTTTAAAAACGAGATTTTAGTTATTTTATGAGATTAAAAATAAAAATAACGACAATACGAGTATATAATAGTTCAAATTTAATTTTATGCATTAATAGTAAAAATTTTAAACTCCACATATAAAATTATAAAGTTAAAAATATATCCATTTATTAATGAATTAGTACTTAATATTAATAAATATATCAAACTATGACATATATCAACCCTTTGACTTTGTTAGTGAAAATTTAGAAAATCCACCGTAATGTCTGAGATAATTTTTATATTTTATTCGAACTATTTGGACCATTTGAGACTCTTTATGATTGATATAAGATTTTTTTAGGCTAATATATAGAAGAACAAGAACCTTCTTAAAGCTAGTAAACTAATGATTTTGAATCAACTTTTGCAACACTTGCTGGCCCAAAAGAAAAACATTTATGGTGATAGATTTTAGAGTTTTTTTTTTTTTTCTACATTAAAATTTTATTAGGCCTAATGGTGCCATTTAACTTACAATTGGACAAAGAACAGGGTTTTAAATCCAAAGGGGTTCTTCCAAAAAAAACTGAAAAGGGGTTTATCAATATCCACATTGAACCTAAATGTGGGCCATTGGTCGGGCCTTAATCTTATCCCGTTATACAACACATCTGCATGTTTAATGCAATGAATAAAAAAAAAAATGGAACCGACCGTTTGGATCGACGGAATCGAGAATCAATAGTATTTTTGGTCCATTAACATGTATTAAACCGAGTTATAATCGGATGAAGCGATAATTCAATCTGTCTTACATTTATTTTATTATTAAAAATTTTTTGGTAAGGAATAGTATATGAAACTTTAACCTCTTAATTTTATAATAAATACCATACCATTAAGCCAAATGCATTTTTTAATTATTTACTATACTTAATACTCACTAAAATAATGTATTTAAAATTAAATTCTCTTTTACATTAGATCGGCCGTTAAATTGGTTGAACTGAGAATGAAACCCTCACCAATTTAACCTTCGATCCGGTTTTTTATTCATTGATTTGATGAAGTCGAAGACTGATTTTAATGATATCGGTCAAAGCTACTAAATATACAATTGAAGATATTTTTTGTTCCTTAAAAGTCATTAATTGGTTAAAATTTTATTTTGAAAATCTTAAGTTCAAATATGAAATTGATAAACGAAAATCACGGTCTTATTTATATATTTCAAAATCACATTTACAAAATTAATATCAAATCGATGTATTTTTTCAAAATGCTAATATTCAAAGCAAAGATAATCTTGATGGAAATAAAATATAATCTAAGAACAACATTATTAGGCTATTGCATTTATTTATCCAATTAATAATTAAATGTTATTTAAAAGAATATTTTTAAAAGATTTTAGCTCATCTTTCAGCATGCCATGCATATGCATGCTAGATTTTAACTTAACTTCTTTGCATTAGGTTTCCTTTGTATTATTATTAATATTTTAAAAATAAAATTTTAAATATACCAAATTGATATAAAAAATTATTTTCTTTTCCATAACTTAAAAAAATGGAGTAGGCTCAAATTTTACCTTATGGAGGATATCCCGATCGCATTATTGTAAATAATAAATTTTGATTTAGAAAATTCAAGAAAGTTAAAGCTTTACCTTGAATCGAGAAACTTGAAGAGGCTAGCTAGGCCATATCTTAAAGCTCATAAAATATTAGCAAGATTCAATTATTACTTACTGTTAATTATTTTTTTATGAATTTATCTAGCGTTTAGGTTTTGATTAGAAGTCTTTGATTAAAAAGTCGTAACCTGTTTGAATTTAATTGCATGGTTTTGTATATATTAAGAGTTAAAATAATTAACCAAGTTACAAGCTTCTTCCTTCTGGTAATACTTATTATTCACATGTAAAACGTTTATTTTGATACGTGCGTCGGTGCATGAATCATTCGAGAAATAAATATTTAATTTAAGTTCATTCATGTAGTGGATTTTACGTTCAAAGAATAAAATTTTGAATTGTGAAATTTTTATTATTCTTAAAATTCTTTTATTGAGTTTGGTGGCAGTTGATACCAACTCTTGTAAAATTATTTAAAATTTTAAAATAAAATAATAATAAAATATATAAATAAAAATAGTTATCTATTTTTAAAATATTTTGTTTAATGGGTATTAAAAAACAATCCACTCAACTCATGGATTAATCATTGGCCAAAAAAAAAAACTCATGGGTTCATCAAGTAACTTTTTTTTAATTATATTAATGGTTTAAAAATATTTTAATTTCTTCATCTATGCGGTGGATGCTTCAAATTTTAGTAGAATTTTAGACCTTTTTTAAAGTAAATATTTGACAAGACATTAATTCATATTTAAAACGTTGCCTAGGATGAAATGTAAAAGGAAGTTGCTGTGATGGTGACTCTTACTGTCCTTGCTTGTCAAAGTTCGAAAGAATCAATCGTTCAATGAATTTGGGCTAAAAATTTGACTTTTTAAAATAAAAAAGGAATTTTGTAAAACCACATTCAAACAAAGTCTTCAAATATTTTAATCTATCCAAAAAAAATTCTTAAAATATTTTAAAATTTGAGACAAAACTTCATTAATGAAACTATTTAGATTAATAAAATATTTTAAAATTTTCAAATCATTGTAATCATCTTTTATCATTCATTTATTAGTTCTCGCTGTCACGTGTGCTTTTTTAATAAAAATTAAATTTGATAATTTATATGTTTATATTATATTTATTTTATATTAAATAAATATCAAATATAAAATTTATTATATCATAATTTATAACAATATATTAAATATAAAATATATTTTTTATTTTTATAAAATTCATATAATTTTTACTAAAATTTAAAATTATATCACTTTAATATATTTTTATCATTTTCTTATTTTATTATGTTGTATGAAGTCTAAAATTAACAAATCTAACAAAATATATAAACCCCAACCCAAATTCGACGATAAGGACAAAATTGCCGTACGTTACGTGTCAAGATATGGACGTTCTGATCTTTTAATAAACGGGTATGGTAAGTGGAGCCCATGACCTCGGCCTTGTAGTCCACTGAAAGCCAATGACTTTTTGGAGTGGTAAAGGAGCGCCTTAATTGGTCCATTTGTCCTGTCCTGGATAAATTCTTCACCCGTCGGCTACAGCCACCATCAATGTTCAATGTATACCCCATCAAAAACATTTATCTTACGTGTCATTATCTGCGCAAAAAATTAAAAACTTCAATTTTCTCTGTTTACCCACGTGTCATCCATGGTAATTTAGGGATTTTAAATCATGAGAAATTATCACATGCCTTTGCTCACCCTCGATTAAATTGAGCACACTTTCTATAGCATTATGAAAATATACCTCATCTATTTTACATCTTATTAATGAATTCTAATTCTTCGTTTCAATAAAAAAAAAATACTGATAATTCTTTTTATGTATATGCCCAAACAAAAGCACTGAATTAATTTGGCTGGTAAAAAATAATTTTTTATCAATTTAGATTTGATTTTAATAAAAAACACTTCAAAAATAAAAAATCATAAATGTGTCAAATTAATACGAAAAATAAGTTTTAAATTGTATGACAAGAAAATTAAGTATGAATAAAATTTAAGAAAAAAATATGATTATATTATAAAAGAGTCGAAAGTGCCAAGTAATTAAAATAAATAATTTTTTAATATCGATTCTTAAAATTTATTTGTTTGATTCCAAAACAATAAAATATTTGAATCAGATTTATTAAATTGAAAATACATGCATCTACCATTAAATTATATATTCAGGTGTAATAATTATTAGAATTTTAATAAGATAAAACGTCCCGATTCATTATAATGTACGAATCTTCCATTAATAATTAATCACAACAACCTGTGCCCTGAAATCAAACATATCATTTGAGGAAATCAAATGGGGAAGCCCATGGGTAGCTGTGAGGATGCAAGCATGGTAGAATTTCCCTCCTTGCATTGATTTGCTTGTGAAAGAGAGAGTGCTTATCCAATACAGCACTATAAAAATGCAGTATGATAAACAATTAGAGCAATAGAAAGACAAGACAGACATAAAAATTTCTTCTTTCAAACCCTTCTTACATTTGCTAATCTTTCTAATCTTTCTTTCAAAAAATGGCGGCATCAAGGAAGATCTTTTTTGGTTCAAAATCAAACTATATCTACCCATCCAAGAAATTTGGTGATGGGAGTTTCACCAACAACCCTTCATCTGATCATCATTTCGAGTTAGATGAAGCAGATGTATGGAACAATTCTAATGATCAAGCAACAATCAACTTGGATACTAAAAAGCCATTGCCAAGTTCACGAGTTTCGTCGAAGAAATATTTCAGAAAGACGGAGGCGATTGGTGATAATCATAGGACGTCCCATATGGCGCTGGCTTCAGCTTCATTGCCAGTCAACATCCCGGACTGGTCCAAGATTCTTAAAGCCGAATACAGGGAACATGGCAAGAGTGATGAAGATGTTGACGACGCCGACGACGACGATGACGACGGAGATCGTGATGGAAGGGTTCCTCCACATGAATATTTGGCAATGAGAAGGGGGGCTTCGTTTTCTGTTCATGAAGGAATTGGAAGGACTTTGAAAGGAAGAGACTTGCGTCGTGTTAGGAATGCTGTCTGGAAAAAAACAGGATTTGAAGACTAACCCAAGGAACAGAACATAAAAAAAAAGTTTAATTCTGATAATACATTTTTTTAGAGTTAATTGGCAAATTTTTTAATTGCCATATCTTTATATATATATATATATATATATATATATAAACTTTTTCCTCTGTGTTTTGAGATTTATCAGAGGATTTGTCTGGTTCTTCGCATAATGTAACTATTCAAGCTTTGGGATTGTTAGCAGATTTCAATTATAATTTTTTCGAGTATTTTTATTTTCTATGGAAATTGAATTTGAGGAAATTAAATTATGGATGATGATGGATTGGGTAGTTGACAGGATAATGGCGACAGCCAAGCTAATAACAACCCTTTTATTATCCTGTTAAATCTCAGCAAATGACAAATTCATCCTTTTGATTTTACCAAAATTGGAAATATTAAATTTTATGGTTTGATGTTAACAGAAACTAATATTATTTGATGTCAAATCATTCTTACATTTGTTTATTCTCATATACGTTTATTGTATGAAAAAGATTTTCTCCGCTATTTACTTAAAAACTAATAGAAGTGATTATTATTTATTTAAAGGTAATAAATAATTTTTAATTAAATTTATTATTATATTTATTTTAATTAATTTTTGTATTTAATTTAAATTTATAAATTTCAATAATTAATTTAATTAAAATGTATTATTTATTTTTAGATAAAATAGTAATTATGTTATTTTGAAATTAATAAAAAATATTTAATTTAAGATGGACCACAGCTATAATAAAAAAGGAAAGATATTGCCATAAATAAATTCTGCAATTTCTTCGTGATTAATTTTTCCTTTAATTGCAAATTTACGTTTCACCAAAAACAGAAAAAAAATTTCATGAGTGTCATTATGACTTATGAGAGTTTCAATATCATCATGATTGGTTTTCAATTTTCAGTTTTAACGAACTTTTTTGTTCGAAATTTTCATGCATTGGATTTTAATAATTGAAATTAAAATCTAATATTTTATCAAAAAATTCATAAAATTATTAATTTTTTTAATACAAACAAAGTTTATGATTTATTTCAAGATCAAGATAAACTGTAAGTTAATTTCATAAAAGATTTACATTTGATTTATAAATTATTTAAAAATATTTTTTAATAATTGAATTTAAATTTAAATTTATAAATAAAATAATTAAAATTTTATCAATTCAATCAACTCTAATAACAAAAAAAGATAAAATTTCTTACATAGGTTTGAAGAACAAATTTTCTTACCTGTCGGTCGATTAAGAAATAATAGTCCTCCCTAAATCTACAATTCTATAGCCAAAAAGGGGACAATAAAAAAAGAAAAATAGATACCTTATCTAGGTATTTAATTGGACTTAAATGATTTTAACTCAACAAACAAATTATTATTCTATTCTAACTGATTGGCAAAAATTTTCGGGCGGTATTAAATCATCAAACAAGCAGCGGCTGCTTGATTTTGTACCCCTGGTTTTCCTCTTTTTCACCTTTAATTGTGTACGAAAGATAATTAATCTCAGGAACACCGTGGATAAAGTGAAATATGCTGAAAAATAAAGAAAACAATGACATCAACTGAAAGCAACTAATTTGCCAAAAGCCACCAATGAAAATGCGACAATTAAAAGTTTGATTATGATTTAATTTAAAATTTAAATTAATTGATTCATATAAATAAAATTTTAAAATTAATATTTAATAATTTTAAATTTAAATTTTAGCACTCGATGAAAGATTAACCACAGCTACTTGAATATTGAACTATAGTAGCATCGGGCCAAGGCCATGAATTATGCCCATGAAAACTGAGAAGTAGGTGCCTTTTCTATGGGCCTATATCAACTATGGAAGCTAAGGCTGCATTTGGTTTGGATTCAACTGCACCCACGGTGAGGTGCAGTTGGAAACCAAAAAGTCAGCGTTGTGATTCAAATGAAATCACGGTAAGCCACGGTTAGAAGAATCTATCGCATCACACCTCCAATTCGTCACTGAACCTTTTAGGTAAAGTGAAAAATTATTTCTTCTACCACAGCTATGCCTTTTAATATTATCCATGTTTTTTTTTTTTTTTTTTACCCTTGAAGATACGGTGCAAGGATAAAAAATTTTTTGCCATTTTATCTTTCATTTTTTTTCAAAAATTATAAATAATTTTGTCAATTCAGTATAATAAATATATTTTTACAATTGAGTAATTAATTAAAATAAATAATTACATAAAAAAATTTTAAAAAAATTTTAGTTAAATAATTTAAATTTTTATTACATATAAATTTTAAATTAATATCTTTAATGATCATTTTTTATCTTATTAAAATTTTATTCACCGTTATCATTACGTTTGTATCAAAACACATATTTTTATCGTTGATTTTAATCTTACCGTTACAATAATTAATCTCACCAGAGCTAAACTCATCGTCCATCTAAATGGACCCTAAGTAGGTTGAATGGTGACTAAGTTTAAATGGATATCGATGTATGTTATTCACTTAAAAAAACTTTATGTTCTATCTCTTTCTTTATACTTGAATCTTAAATTAGATGCGAAACAATTTACAAATGAGAAAGGTGTGAGAAATATGTACAAGAGAAAAAGTAGAAGAAGAAGCTAAGAGGGGAAGGGAGTCTTTGTCTTTCCTCCTTATCCTATCGTCTTTTATAATACATTCTTCCTCCGATTAATTAGGATAGGTAAATAATTAATGCCTATGACAATAATAAAATTAATTATCAATACCTAATTTTGACAAAAAGGCAACTTTCAACTTTTTTAAAAGATGACAATAATTTGTAATGAATATATATGCCTTATCCCATCTTGTTGATGTTGATTTTGTAAGCTGTCTTATCCTTTTTAGATATTAACAAGATTTATTAATTTATCATCATCTAGATTAAATGATTATGGAGAACTGGTCTTGATTTTATTCAAGATATTCCATCATTCTTGGTATTAAAATAATAAATGTTGAGGATGGTCTATGTCATTTATTTTTTATAATTGTTCCAAAAGATTTACTGCTTGTGGTTTAGTTGGTAGCAGTCTTTCTTCATAATAGGATCTTTGAATAAAGATTCTACAACTGTCAGTTAAAGTAAAGACTTGAGGATATTGAAATTTTATTATTTCACAATGCAATATTTTTGCTTTATTCATCGTAGATATTCATGTTTGGAATTGGTATAGATTAGAAGATGAAAACTTCCTTAAAGCTTGATTAAGCTGTTCAGAATTCTCATTAATTTTTTAAAGAAGAGGTTTACCCATCAATTTTTAAATTTTTTATATTTGATAAAATTGGATAAAACTTTCTCTTTGATAAATCCCTAAGAGGCTGGTAATATTAAAATGAATATAGAAAAAATATTGATAATTTTTTTTATGAAACCAATAAATTTTGATTTAATAAAAGTAGGGAATTGTATTATCAAGTGAAAAAAAAAATTGTACAATTATTTGGCCTACTAATCCAATTTCGATACTTGTTATATCGAATGGTTTATGATCAAGTCTAAATTTTATTTTTGAAAAGGGTTCTCCTATTTCAGTATTTTCAAGATTTTGAATTATTTTACTAAGAATGAAAATTTGTAAATTTTTCTTATAATAGTTTTTCTATTTGAAAAAGAATAGTATTATTTATTCTTTGAAATATCTCTTTGGGTAAGAGAATTATAGCCTTTGCAAATATTAAAATTCTTTTTAATTTTAATATTTTAAAAGAAAAATTTTGTTTTTCAAAGAATTCATAAAGTTTCCATAAATTGTTTATCTTTTCAAGGGAGTATTGATTTTCATCAATAGTAAAAAAGTCTGATCTTGCTCTTTTGGCAAGTTACTTGTACACATTGTTTTGAATAGAATTTCTTGAAATCGAGCTTGTTGTTAAGCTTGATTAGCTAAAACTTTTGCTAATTTTGTCATGTTTGTTCTAAAATTAGTTTTGCTTTCAAATATATGGGTTTGCCATACATTATTAAGTAGATTATATAATTAAAGGGTAACCTAGATTATAAAAATCTTTTATTTCTAGAGTAGGTTGCCTTGGCTTAAGCAATTCCTCAGTTCTCTAGAGGACTTCAAAATATGAGATAGATGTCCATTGGTTTAGATCTTATGAAAATTGAGAAATATTGTGGACTTGAACAAGTTTCATTACTGATTGTAATGAAGCTTGTGGAAAAGAAAAATATGTCTGAAGGGAATAAATCTATCCTAGATTAGGATAAAAGATTGGTGGTCTAAAAGGAGTAAGATACGATAATCCTAGAATAGGATTTTGAGAAAAAAATCTTTTGTTTAGATAGTGTCTTCTGAATGGTGATCCATTGTCCTTGTTGCTTAAGAGGTTTTTTGCCTCTATTCATCTAGTCTGCTCAAAAAATCAGCAAGAGCATTATTAGATCCTTTAATAAATTCAATAGAAAAATTATATTGTCATAAAAAAATTATACCAGCTAATCCTTCTGGGATTAGTTTCTAACCTCTTATTTTTTAAGAAGTTTTTAACTGCTTGATTATCAGTTCCAGTAATAAAATTTTCATGTGCTAAATAAATATGAAATCTTATTACTACATTTTTTATTGCTAATAACTCTTTTAAAAATAATATATTTTATTTCATTAGGTTTAAATTTTCCTGAATTGTAACGACAAATTAATTCTTAATTATGTACCTTTGATTTACGTACACATTTTCAATGTTAGTTTGAAACATCTATTTAAAGAGTGAGTAATTCCCTTTGTTTAGGAAGATATACTTTAGGTATAAATTTAATATATGATTTTATTTATTTAATAATATCATAATCATTTTTTGTCTAAGAAAAATGTATATCCTTTTTTAGTTTTTCTTGTAAAATTTCTTCTTTTTTAGAGTGATTTTTGATAAATTGTTTTCCATAATTGAGAAAACATAAAGAACTTTGAAGTTGTTTTTCATTTTCCAATTGTTCTGGAAATTCTTTAATCTTTACTATATTATGATCTTGTAAAGTAAAACCATCTAAAGATAAATTTAATCCTAAGAATTCTATATTAGTTTTTTTCAAGCTCTATCTTTTTAGGGCTTAA